CTGGGCACAGAGAGAACTGCTCCTGTCTGTGTTCCTGCACTCTGAAGATGCCAGTCACAGGTGCTGGCGAAATGTTAGGAAACAAAACTTCCAGAACATGGCCATACAGCCTGGAAGACCCACACCAGCCGAAGCAGATAGGGTTCTGAATATAAATAAATAACAGTCCTCTTCTTTTCATACCACTAAGGTATTCCCCCCCCACACACACACACTTCTATTAATTCCACCACCACTGGTGAGTATTCAAGAATTTACTGCCTGCCTTTCTACATACTGCCTACAAGTGGTGACACCACATATCCCTCTTGAACCTTACACTTTCCAGAACCCAAGTGCAGTGTGGATAGTGTTATGGACAAGATCCCTGAACAGTCCCATTCCCTGCCCTTACCCCCACGCCCCATCCCATTTTAGAATCTCATCCTTGTAATGGTCAGGCAAGGTTAAACCCAGATGTCTATCATCTTCTGTCAATAACATAAAAACAAACAAAAAAAATGTGACTGAATTTCAGACTTTATCCAAAAGTCTCAATGGTAGAGAGAACTTTTCCATTCTCCAGATTTTGTATAATTGTGTCCTTTAAGTCCAAGTTCCTCATATATTTTTTCAATTCTTTCCTCTTCTTAGAAGAGTTTTGTTATTTACTTCAGGTCTAATCAAAATAATATAGCATTTGGGAAAAAAGATACAGCCCAGTAACCCAAAACTGGATGCTATGATGGAGAAGATCTCCACAGCAACCATATATTTCCCTTTTGTACTCAAGTAAGTGGGAATAAAGGACAACCAAACACTGCAAAAGACTAACATGCTGAAAGTGATAAATTTGGCTTCATTAAAACTGTCAGGTAGCTTTCTTGCTAGGAATGCCACTGTAAAGCTCATAACTGCCAAGGAGCCCATAAAGCCCAAGACACAGTAGAACATGAAGACAGATCCTTCATTGCAGCCCAGGACAATTTCTGTAGCCATTGTCTGAATGTCAAAATCTGGGAAAGGGGGAGATATTGACAGCCATATAATACAAATGGTAACTTGAATAAATGAGCAGCAAACAATAATGGAGGTGACCATCCTTTTTCCCAGCCATTTCCTCACCCCAGATCCCGGCTTGGTCGCCATGAAGGCCAGGACCACAAGGATGGTTTTGGCTAACACTGAAGAAACTGCCACAGAGAAAATGATGCCAAAGGCAGTTTGTCGAAGGAGGCACATTATCTTTTTAGGCTGGCCAAGGAATAGGAAAACACAAAGGAATGAGAGCAAGAGGGCAATGAGGAGAATGTAGCTGAGATTCTGGTTGTTGGCTTTGACTATGGGAGTGTCCTGGTGCTTAAGGAAAATCCAAAGCACTATAA